TACAATGAGCATCATGACTGCAAATATTTTAATATTGTGAGGATTCATGGTGACCAACGACCATATTAAGAATATAAAAAAAAAAAACAGTTATAAGTAAAAATAAAAAAACAACACCGAACGTCAGAATCGCTTCTTGGCCGTTTTGCGCCGTACCACCGTTTTCGCGATAATACGTAACCACGCCCACTATTTCGCTGTCTCGACGGCAGAGCTTTGGTTTCGTGCAGGATCGTGTTTTATCATTTTACGAGCGGTCGTGTTCATAGATTAGTACAATATAATATGCGCAACTCCTGTATTAAATTTGTTGACTGTGATACACGCCCCCAATGACTAAATCATTAACCTAATATTATGTAACAATCGCTTACGTGTAAATTTATTAGAGTATCAATAAAATAATCTCATATATGTTATAAACAATAAATTGACAAATTTAACAAATTGCATTATATAATATAATAGTTAACACCTTTTTCCAGCAAGTATCGAACCTAACCTAATGTATTGTCGCTACGCTCGAAATCTAAAATGAAAAAAAACCCATCTTTGTTAGTTTATACAAAGATGTATTCTTCACCCTTCACTCAGAATCTGAAATTCTTATATTGCTGATGAGTGTGTTTTGTAACGCGACTGTTGTCGTAGGTTACCGCTTGCGTACGCATATTGCCAAACCCGGTGTGAGAGAGAGAGAGCGAGCGAAAGGGAGAGCCCATGTAGAGACGCGCACAAACGCCTCGGGTGTAAAACTCGTATTATTGATAACACGCCGGCGGTGTGGCTTAGCATTTATTTTTCGTCGTACGTGGAAGGTGATCATCACGCGCGATGGCCGGGTAATAACAAAACGCGCGGGTTCGATGTAGCGAAACGGGTAGGGAGCGCCGAGAGACCAGCTGCTCGACTATCCCGTCCGGTTCTTCGGCCGAGACCGCGTTGTCCAAATCGAAATCGTCATCTCATGGAATATAATATACGCATTCCTTGCCCGCAACACCTAAACGTTACACTAATACGACGACGACGACGCGTTATTGTATTTTCCTGGATCGTCGCGCATTGTATTCGTGTATACTACACTCAGCGCTCACCTCGCGTTTACGGTTACAAAAAAAAAAATTTTTGAACAAAAAATTACTAACTGTGTTAACTTAAATTTCGTAAATTTGATCGTTCTTTCTACCTTTTATTTTTCAGTTTTTTTCAATTGTTAAAAGTACTGCAAAGGAAATCAAAAAACGACTTTAAAAACTACTCACAAAGTAGATCTAAAATTTAATAAAACGTGCTTCTTGTCGTTTTTCTATAAAATACAACATTTCTGGTAAAAAATATCGTGTGTACAAATTTAGAATAATGAAATCGTACACCATAAAATTGTTTGTTTTTCATTTTTCATCTTTTTTCGGTTTTCAAATTATTGTGAATAATAGGTATTTAGAAAATTAAAAAAGACTAATTTCGTTATTAACCAGATTGAAAATTCAATAAAATTGGTCCAAATCTAAAATAAGGTTACATTTGTATTTGGATGAAAGAAAAAAGCTTAATATAGAGTAGACAATTTGAATCTAGGAAAAATCGTCAAGTAAAAAATGACGAAGGTAAAATACGACAAGGTAAAAAAATGTCAAATGCATTTCACATAAAAATTACAGAAATTAATTTTTAAGTCAATTAAAGTAAATATTAAAAAATATTAATAAATCATAAATATCTTATACTATAATAATCTAGAACTAATAAAAACTTTGGTAAATCTCTTTGTATATCTCGAATTCTTCATGTAATTTTTTGAGTTTATTCTGTAATTCTACATAGATTTTTATTTTATTTTTTTTATAGATCATGCAAAAGCGTACTTTCGGAATTCTGTTTACAAGTAGCACCTTCTCCTCACCGAAGAAATACTAGGTTGACCCTTTAATACATAGAACTATATGACAGTAATTATTTGATCTGTGGTCAGCTGCCTACAATTAGCTATTAATATATGTAAGTTTTAAGCGAAATACATTTGATGTTTTTTATCCTTGTTGGTTTATGCCGTGTCGATTTTTGACGATTACTAGACAATTTAAATTAAAAATTTAGATTTTCATTAATTTACTATAATACAATATTTATAATTTTGTTTAATAAATTATTTTTTAATTTCATGACAAAAGTACCATAAATACATAGTCATACCTACTCTTAATGTATACTATTATACTATTATGCTTATTCAAATACCTATACGTATTGTTGAATTGTTACTACCTATATGATTTTTTTTTAACTTATTTTTGGTTGTAATACATATTATATAATTTATTAAATAGGTAATTTGTATATATTTTAGTATAGTATTAAATTAATTAATTTTAAGTACATTTATGAAACAATGATGTGACGGCGCAGATTTCGAAAATCTCGTACGTACCGCAAGTGACGATTTGTTGCCGTTCACTATAAACAATGTAAACAATTTATTTACCGAATTTACCAATTTTTTTGTATTACTACATCTATTTAAAAAATATAAAAAATGTTTATCTAAAAATATATTTCCAAATTTATATCAACTGTTAAAAGTGGTGATAACATTACCAATCGTTTCAACCACTTTTGGGCATAGCTTCTCTGCAATGAGGTGTATAAATACATGGCTGAGAACATCAATGGCTCAAAATCGTTTCAATACCCCAACATAAATATTGAAAGACAGCTGTCAAAAAAAAATATAAAAACAACAGGAATTAATGATAAATTTACTGGAAGAAACAGAATAATACTATTTAGATAAATGCAATTTAATTTAAATAAATTTAATGTTTGATGTATTTGAACCACGTGAAAACTGGTATTTGTACAATGATATGACAATATGTAGGTAATATACAGAGATTATGTATCATCTCTAAAAATAATATTTACAACCGGGCTTAATTTATTACCGTAATATTACAAGAGTCATCGACTCACGCGCCGAATATGACGGATCGTCGGACGGCGCGGTTATGAATAACGTACAAATAAGGCCCGAGCATAATAATAATATTATAATGCGCCGTCCGATTCATCGAAAAATCCAAACGTGTCCACCACGAGTACTTTTGCGTCACTCTAGTTTAATGGATTATATTTTTCGGATTTGTAATATTATTTTCATGATAATTCTATAATATTGGACTTTGAATAATTAATAATTGGACATAGAATTTATTGAGTGAGGATATTTTATTAATTTATTGGCCTTATTGGATTTATTTTCGATAATATATCAAGTAGATACTGGCTGTATTGTATACGGGTGGTTTAGAGTTGCGTTACAATTTATTTCACACTCCTCTCTACACATGGTTCATTTATGAAAACCGTATTGTTCAGTTGTTTATCACTGGATATAATAATAATATTATTGCAACAGAACAACGTGGAAAATTTCACTATCAATTTCGACGCATTATTATGTGTGCGACTCGCGTGTAGTTTCACGGGAGTACCAGAATAGAATACTTGCGCTGATTGATACGCACAGGGACAAGTGCGCGTAAAAGCGACGGCCACACATATAATTATGGTAGAGACGAGTTCCGTACACGGGAATCCAAATACAACGATCGTGTGCGTGCAGATAAACTTAAACCGTATGCTAGCATTAAATGGACGACGCACAACAATAACAAAATAATGATATCGACAATAATCGGCTTTTTCCTCGGTCTTATCAATTCGCAGAGAGCATTGTAATATACCCGCTCCGCAGGCCCGTACACAGAGAGGGGTGGGGGGTTTGCTCCCTAATTCAGGCAATCGACGTTTTCATACATCGAATCGAAAATCTGCCATCGGAAGCGTCACTGCGGAGTCGCTAGTTTCTTGAAACGTACTATAGGTACAACAATTATCAAGTATGGGTACCTACTATATTATTATAACGCGATGCGCAATATTAATGGTAAATGTAAATATTGTACAACTTAGTCTAGGCATATATACCTACATACAATACAATACATACAATATACACAACACACATTTCTTATTGTAACTACTATGTACNATGGTACATTTAAATCATCCCCACACCTGTTTATTTAGCTTCTTACAATATATACTATATGTATTTATAGTACAACAATTATCAAGTATGGGTACCTACTATATTATTATATAGCGATGCGCAATATTAATGGTAAATGTAAATATTGTACAACTTAGTCTAGGCATATATACCTACATACAATACAATACATACAATATACACAACACACATTTCTTATTGTAACTACTATGTACAATTCTATAAATTACTTTAAATTAAACAAATCATATTTTTAGCATATTTTACATGCTTAAAGAGAATATTTTAAAGTTTTTTTCAGAGCATATTAGCATTATATTTTAAACTTTCAAGAACCTGAAAATCCGCTATCTAGTCATTATTAATAAAGATTTTATCGAGTTGCTCTAGTTTTTTTTTTCTTCTTTCTTACGGTCATTACCTATTTCTCGTTGAGTACATACTCACGGGCAGTAGGGCGATTGAGCAACGACGACGACGACAACAGGCTAGCGGTAAAACGTCCGGTTAGAATCGAAACGCGGTGGACGCGTAATAAACGTTTATTTAATACTTAGAAAAATAATAACGTTCGGCAAATGTTATTTGGATAATCGTCCGGAACCGTGAACCACGCCGAACAGTCCACTGCAGTTGTCGATACCCTAAAGTAGCGGTTCCCAAACTTTTTTAATTCAAGCCTCTCTAATAATAATAAAAAATTGTTCACGCCTCCGGCAATGAATTTTTAATAAAATAGGTTAACAATTATTTAATATTTATTAGTTAACAGTAAACTTACTATTTTATTTTATACAAAATAATTAATGCGAACAATGCGCTTGTTTTTCGTTTATTAATTTTTCAAAATTAGTAATTAACGTAGNCAATTATTTAATATTCATTAGTTAACAGTAAACGTACTATTTTATTTTATACAAAATAATTAATGCGAACAATGCGCTTGTTTTTCGTTTATTAATTTTTCAAAATTAGTAATTAACGTAGTTACTGAAACACGCTTTTCTTTTTCCACGTTGAGTCTGGACCGGTATATTGATTTTAATACGGTTACTGTTGAAAGCAGTTTACCTGTTTCATACAAATACGATGTGCCAAATGGTATTATTATACCTAAAGCTTTATTGCTAACATCAGGATATTCGTCTTTAATACTGTTCCGAAATTCCATAAGTGAATATGAAGAAAATTGCATTCTTAGTGAAGAATCGGATGGATAAGTTAAGATAATAATTGATCTAAACATAACTATATGTGTTTACAGAGTAGGTAGGTACATACGGTCGTAACACGATTGCGTTCAAAAGAGATAATCAAAGTGAATCTTATTTAAAAATATATATACATAGTATAAAACAACAAAATATTCTAAAAAAAGTGATTTAAATAATACGAATATAATAATATAACAATATAGGTTCGGTACATATAATGTTATTTCATTACTTATTATGGTATATTATAACTGTATTGTGAAAAGAAAAGGCAAACAAATATTCATGATATTTTTTTTGCTCTAATCATTTTTTTTTTAAAAAATCCTATTTTCAATGTTTTTTTTACGTTTTTTTGGGAAACTTGTAGAACTTTATTGCTTTGTTTTCAATGCTTTTCTTTAGTTTTGTATTGCTCTAAAACCCGTACTCTTTAGTAATTACTAATAATGTCATTGTTGGTATTGCCTAAAAATATTATAAATTATAATACATTACATTTTAAACTTGAGATTTGCACGTCTATCGCCATCGTTATCATTCGACTATATTACTGATCAAAATTTAACGCAAACATAAGCATTTACATAAATTAAATTTTATTTCATCTTATATTAAATACGGACCTGAGTCTAATTACAATTATATAATATAACTAGCTGTTATAAATTTAATATTTTATTCTTGCTCTTTACGAGGCTTGTTAATATTTTGTTGTTTTATACTATGTATATAT